AGGTGGGGGCACAAATCCCCACAGAAATTCTTTGAGGGAGCCAACATGTGTCCAGGGCGGGAAAATAAACCTCACACTGCACATGGTTTCTCACCCCCTCGTGAGAAAGCACACCTCCACGTGGGAAAATACTTCCACATCCCCACACACCGAAGACGGGTGTCCAGACGACGGAGGGGAAAAAACACCCCCCACCAGTTGTTCAAAGGCCCAGGTCCGGAGAAGAGAACGGGCCACTCCGCGCGGGAGAAGCGCACACATCCCGGCGAGGAAACCCCTGACCACCTAAAGCACCTCGACGTGTCACAGCTCCACACGACAAAAGCCTGTCGCCAAGTCCTCATCCCTGCCTTCTGAGCTGGCCGGGAGGGCCGGGGAGGGGGGCCTCCCCGAGCCACCCCCTATACCCGAGTGGTGGAGTGGGGATGGGGGAGCGTGTTGTTGTGGCTGGTAGCGGTGGGGGGAGGCGGGGGGAAGCGCCCAAAGGGATGGAGGGAGGGGGGCGGCGTGGGAGGGGGTGGCCCCAGGCCGCTGGGCAGCAGGGTCAGGGCCCCGGGGGCCAACAGTGGCAAATTGTGGCAGGGCCAGGGTGTAGTCGGGCGGGCAGGCGGGGCGCAGGGCCTCCGCAGGTTCCGCCCCGATGCCCCTGCCCCGCTTCAGCTGCAGCGACACCAGCTCCTCCTCGGCTGGCAGCTCACGGCCGGCAGCAGGGAGCAGGGGGCCTCCGTCGGGCACGCCGGAGCCCGAGCCGCCGTGGGGGCTGAGCCGCCTGCACCGCAGCTCCGGCCGCAGGTCCCGCTTGTAGTAGAGGGCGGCGAAGGCAAGGATGTTGAGGAAGAGGAGGGAGGCGCCCACGGCCATGGTGACTCTGAGCTCCGTGGAGTAGTCTCGGGAGTCCCCAGGGAAGCGATCGTAGGCCCGGGGGCCCGGCTCGGGCTTGGGCTCGGGCGGCAGGGTGGCCGGAGGTGGGGGGCGGCGAGTGCCAGGGGCACCAGGGGGCGGGCGCCACGGCCGGCGCGTGGCGTAGGGAGGGAGGCGCGTGGTGGTGGTGAAGAGCTCCGTGTGCAGGCTGTGCACGTGCGGCACGAGCTCCAGCCAGAAGGCCACCTTGTTGGCGCGGTAGTTGGCGCGCACGCGTGGCTTCAAGCCGATGTGCAGGTACTGCTTCTCCTTGCTGTTGAACTTGCTCCACACCACCTCCTCGAAGCGGTTGGGCTTGGTGTGCATAAACTTGGTGTCCTGTGGCACCGGCTGGTTGGGGTCGCTGTGGACACAGGGGGTTAGGGAAAGGAGGAGTAAGGGTGAGGCTCCCATGAAAGGCAGGGGTGGGGGCGTGCTATGGGAGGAATGGG